GCTTGGAGCTGGCAACACTCCTGTCCCTTGAGCAGCCAGTGAGGAAAAGCCTGGGACTGTGCAGGCATACCTCCATAATGAGAGAGTTCTGCCCCCCTCAGCTCAGCTCCCTGCAGAACAGAAGGGAGGACTGCTCTAGTGCCACCCCCGCACCCGGCTTCTAGCCTGAGCCTGCAAGCATGCGCCTTAATTTCCTCAGTCCAGAGAGGGTGTCTCTCCAGTTTCAAACCAGTTCAGCCTAGCCAGGTTAGATTAACCTGCAAAGACTGAATCAATTCAGGCTCAGTCTTTTTGAATGTCTGTCCCTAGCCAAAAGGTTTTCCTTTCATTTTTTTTTCTGACCACATTTTACCTTTGATCATATAAGGCTTCCTGTAATAATACTCCCTGTAAACCTTTTAAAAATATTTTTTTCCAGATTTAAGGATGATCACTAGACACTTATTAAAACACTGATTATCTTTTTTCTGGGATACAATGTCTCCTCCACTAGCATTCATTGTATCATGTACACTTACTAAGTTTGCATAAAGACCATGTCTTATTGAGCATGTGAAGAGGTACTGCAGTTGTTGATCATCATTTTTGTAAATGGCTATAAGATGGTCACTCTAATTTTTCAGAATCACCCAAGATGTTTTACCACATGGTGAGTCACAGAGAGGTGAAATGGGATGCAAATTTTGTACTAATTTTTCTTTACTCAGTTGGCAGAAATTTACTGAAACTTTTCTGCCAGCTTTTTACTGAAGTTGACAGAATTGCAAATTTAAATGGGCACAAAATTTGCATCAGCTTGTTATACGTTTAGGGCGAGCTACCACCTGTGTCAAATGTGGGCAGCCTATGGTATGAATCAGGAAGGAGGCTAAAACTCATGCTTTTGGATCTGTAGAGAGAGACCCTAGTAGCTCTGCCATTGTGTCCCTCCTGTTTATAATCAGAAAGCACACAAATATTTGTCTTTGGAAGATTTTGCTTATTTTTACTCGGATTAAGTTTAGGAAAGGGAAAATAAACTTTAATAAGCCTGGGGCTGGCCTGAACAAGTTTAATTTTTGTTGCCATTTTTGTGAAATAAGAAGAGAGAGCTGAGTAAAGGTTTAGTTCCTCCTTCCCCAGTTTGCAAAATGTGCAAGCTTGCCCTAAGTTGTTATGTATAATGAATAAATGTATATTTAAATAATGCATAAGTGAATATTTAAAGCTGTGTATGGGGACTGTAGAATGAAATTTAATGGAGCGGTTTTAGAAATGGAAAAGGAATCAAAGCAAAAGAGAAACCAGTGTTTTTAAGGCCCTTGAAGGGCCTCATAAATATTGGATATTAAAACAGGTGTTAAGATGGTGGCCCCAAAACAAAGTAATTAAATGTTCTTTACCTTTTGGAGCAAGCATGTCAGCACAGACATGTTCTAGTGAACTGAACCCCCAGCAGAAAGCCAGAGCATAGGCTAATTTTTCCTTTTGTCTTCTTGGGTGATGCTCCCATCTTTTTAGGTGGATTCTGAAAAATGCTAAGTACTCACAAGTCATGGTGAAATTAAATGGGCATTGACAGCATTTGGTGCCTATGGGGAGGGACCCAAGGGACCTGTGCCCTTGTGTAAATGGGATTCTACTGAGTCTTTGCTTGTTGGGAATAACAGAGGGATGATCTTTCCAGATGGGCCGCAGTTCAAGAAAACACCTAGGCATACTCTTTTTTAGCTTTTTCATACTTAAGTGCATGCTTAACTCAGTAAAACACTTACTGAGCAAAGCTGGAAGGTGCAACCAGTGTTTAGTGCTAGCATAAACATTCTAACAGGTGCAAGTCTACATGACCTAATAATTCTCTAAGTCTCTTAAGACAAGAGAGATTGTCTTGACTGGCCTATGGGCTGCATCAGGCCCATGGAATTCCCCCACATGCTGGATCCAGCCCCTGTGGTGCCTGCTCTGGCCAGCCGTGGATGCAGGTTGTGTACTGGGGACCTATCGGTCCATGGACAGCCCTCCTCGCTCCTGTCACCACTTGCTGGATCCAGAGTCTGCTGTACCTGGTCTGGGACTGTGCCACATGCAGCGTCTGCTCTGGGACCTGATCTGCATGTGGCACCTGCCCTGGACCAGTGGGTGGCTTGTGGCCTGAACTGACCAGAGCAGACACCACAGACGCAATCTGGCAAGTGGGGGTTGTGGTCCCATACTGGTTCAGCACCAGTGGGTGTTGCATGCAGGGTGTGTCCCAGAATCTGCGTGTGGGGCTAGTCCAGGGTGTTATGTGTAGTGTGTGGGTCAACTTGGGACCAGAGGTTGGATGACGTGGCTCCATGGGCTGGATTTTTGACATCCCTGTGATATGAAATATATCCTTTCTGTGTGTAAAAATAAATAAAAAGCTTCTGCTGTTGTGTGCTTCTTAGAAAGTTGCATAAGTGACAGAAGAACCAGAGCAAAAATATTTTGGGTGAGGTTTTCAAATCAATTTAGCAGTTTTAGAACACCTCTTTTAATGGAAAATGTTAATTGTAGTATCCGTTTCCCTAAGTGTTCATAGCATATTTTTATTGTGTGTGTGAAATCCTAGTTTCAAAGAGACCGAGACTGACAAAGACTTTTAACATAGTTGAGCTTTACCAGTGTTTCTTTTCAAAATATTGTAGTTGGAAAGCTTGGAAATAACATCTTTCTTTTCTCTTTAGTCAGATATGTTCAGTATAAGCCACATGTAGGGATGTCGTTGATGCTAAGTGGGTACAAAGTGCTTTTTGAGCCTTTGCAGGAGGTATGTAGATCTCTCACGGTCTTGCATAAGAATATAAGAGCTGCCAGATTGAATCAGACCGCAGGTCCATCTATCCCAGCGTTCTTTATCACATGGTGGCACAGTGGATGCTAAGGGGAAAAATATTTCTGCAGGGTATATTCAGACTGATCTTTCCTTGTTCTTGATCCTTTCTAGCTTCCAGCAGTTAGATGTAGCACCATATTTATCTACCTTAAAACAGAGTTTAAAATTCCTCTTGTGGGTCCCTCCCTCCCACACCGGTCAGAACTATGTATGTTGGATACAGCCTTAGTTTCCAAGCAAATGCAAAGATTTCATGTTTTCATGGCTCAGATTAGATAGCTTTTAGTATTTAGGCCTACACTATTTTCTAGCCTCCATGCAAGCTTGTCTAAGGACAATTCTGCCATATTCAGTGAATTAATCCATACCTTGCTTCTGTTTATTTTATTCTACAACCTTTCCAGCTCAACACTTAGTTTCTCTCTTTGTGGCTTCCTAAATATTTCTCTCAAGCTTTAACCTTTCTAAAGACAAAGACTCGACTTCCTCATTTGCTTCAGGCTAAAAGGATATCTGTCAAATATTTTCTGTTTAATTTTGTGCTATTTATTAAATATGTCAGTGTGCATGACATTTTGCAGAGACTGAGGCCACAGTACTTTCACTAAGGAATTTAAAAATCAAAACCCTGGGGAAAAGGTGGTGGTTTTTAACTTTTGAGAATAACAAGATAGGGAAGAATCCAGAGGTTAAGGGTTATTATAGGTCTGATACTGTCAAGGCAAAGAGAATAAAGCTACAAATTTCCTGAAATTAATTTTCAGAAGTAAATTTCATGAAGAAGTTTAGGGTGGGAAAGAAATGACAGAAGATGGAACAGAATGTGAAAGAAGGAATATAGATAATGTCAATTTGTGGTTCATATTGGGTCTGTACCATAGTGCAGTGTCTTTCCCTGTGTTTAAAGTGTTGTTATATTTTTCTGTTCAGTGATATAAGGCAGAGGATTCAGCACAGAATTGCTCAGGCATTTGGTATCAGCTCTTCTTCCATGTATCTGACCAAGCCAACTTTCTTCTCAAGAATAAATAACACTGAGGCCAAGACAGCCCATGATGAGTACTGGCACCCACACATTGACAAGGTAAGTGGAAGCTGAGAAGGGCAGAACCTTTCCTCTTGATATTAAATGGCTTTGGAGACTGAGCATCAAAGTGTTCCAGACCATGTACTAATCATGGTTGGAAAATATTTTTAGGCTATTTCTATAAAAAGTGTTTCAGTTAAAGAATAAACCAAATCATCTTTTTTTATTGGCAGTCCAGATCTGGATCACTTCTTTTTGTAATTCCATCATGCTGATCCCCATTTAGGAGCCCTAGAACCCTGGTCATCTGGGGTGGAAGGTAACCAGTCAGGTGCCCTGTCTGATTTTTTCAGTAGTCTTGATGACATGGATTTAGCCTGCAGAATACTTCAGTTTTTATCAAACTGGCATTTTCTGATGGAATGCTGCTCTTTTGGGAAATTCTTCAACCAGTTCTAGCAAGCGTTACTTTACAGGTGAATGATGCGCTTAAGGCACCTGTCAAGATGTATAGATTACTTAAATGCTTAGATTTCATGATGTGCAAAGTAAAGTTTTGTTTTGTTGCATGTTCTGTAGAGGAAATGCTATGACCTCTTTCTTGATCTGATTTAGTTTATAGTGGAAAGTTATTTGAGTGATTCTTATAAACATAGCAAAGGTTATTGGATCATAGTGTACTGTCTCTCTAAAGTTTTGATTGGATTGAACTGAGTAGTCTTTGCATTAAATTTAGTTCTGATTTTTAATTGTGTGTCCAAGGAAATCTGACTAGCAAAAACTCAAAGTGAGAAATACCGTATAGTTAGCTAAATAAATTTGGACTTCAACAGGGGGACACAAACTGGAATTACTCCAGAATCATGGACCACCCAGGGAGGAAGAACCAGATGTAAGATATATAGCACCTAGAAATATTATTAAAATGTCAAGAGGTGCAAGTTACTAATAGATTAGCTTCTAAGCATATTACTTTGAGATTAAAGTTAGATAAAGAAAGGTTTCTTGTCATGAAAAATACTTGGTATTTAGAAGGACTTAGTTGGGTAGAATATTATATTCAAATTCTAGTGGTCACCTTTGACCTGGAGAACCTCTATAAACTGTCACTCTGATTAGCAAAAAGGTTGCTCCACTACACTGAATCTCAGAACACTTGGTGACAGGTTTACAGTACTCGATACAGCCTCAGTATGAATTGGGAAAGTAATGCAAGGTGAAGTATTCAGTCCTAGATGTAGCAATTATGATCATACCAGTTTCTCAAAGTTGTTCCGAGTGGGAATGTAAGTACAGAATAACATGGACACTGGACCCTATCCAGGGAGGATTTTTGCAATGCAAATTGGTCAGATCGGTACTGATACGAACTACTGAAGGATGAAAATGGTGCTACAGTGGTTGCTGGCAGCTCCATCAGATACTCCAATGAATTCTGGATGATGTCATCAAATCAACAAGCCCTGTTCTTTGAACTGCACTTCATATGTTTCCTCTCTTTTTTATGTGCTTTTTTCTGTGCTTTTAAAAGAACTGTTGCATCGTCCCAATGCCACAACAATTTGTTACTTCAAATCTATAATAAGCAAAAAAGGGTCCTTATAAGTTATGTCAGAAGGTAGGAGGATTATTCAGAACTGATAATTAGTTTGAGGGTTGCACTATGCTGCTTCCTGTCAATTTTCAGATATAAGTGGAGATGCATTGAGTGAGAAAATGGATGCACATCAAATGTATTTATGCCAGTGCTTGGAATAATGAAACTTGTTCAGTGAATAATTTGAGGGGGTGGGCAGTAAGTGAACATGCATAGGAAGAAACTGACCTAGGAAGAGTTATTTATTTGCAAATACTGTATCTATTTAGCAGTGAATTTTCCTTAACACTGGGGGTAGTCATCTAGACTGCTACAGTATATTAGTTTTTCAGTCATCCCACTAATTCTTGGAGACCAAGTGTTTTGTCTTTCAGAACAGGTCAGCCAGTGTTAACAGCCTCTGCTGCTTATCTTTCCCCTGACCTTAGTGTCCCCTTGCCCCTAGGTTGTCTAGTTTTCCCCCCATCTCATAAGGTCCTTTTTTTGGTTCATCTCTTCTGTTCTGATGATTTTTTTTCTTCTCCAGTCAGTTCTGCTCTTATGTCAATGAAAGCGTGGATGGTGAAGAATAAATTCTTATTTGACTGCTCGTATTGTCTCATCACTGGTGTTTGTTTTGTCCTTAGATTCTTGATGAGAGACAATCTCATTAGGTATCCTGTGAAAAGTGAGTAGATTAGCACTTAGGGCTACCAAAACCGTATAGAATAAACCAGCAGTCAGCAACCTTTTTTTCCAGCTGCAGGCTGGAATGGCCCAGCTCAGGGTCAGGGGCAGGCGGGTGCTAGGATCTGGCAGCTGCTGCCATCGCTGTGACACACGGGAAGCTCCCACCACTGCCACTTCTCCCTGCCACATCCCAGGCAAAGCTTTGAATGCTTTTGCTTCTCCTCACTGCAACATGGAAGAAGCTTCTGCCTGTACCATGGGGAAGCCCTAATTGCCAAACACTAGCGAAGTCTTAAATCCACAGGCCACATCCAATAAACTGTTGAACACTGCTCAGAACACCTAGCCTCAACTACTGTCATTTAAATACGGATAAAGTTCCCTAGCTAACAGAGATATTGCCAACACAAAATCTTTTCTAATACCTGTACTGGAGTAGATCTTATTATATGGAGCAGGGAAAGTTATATGGACACATATGTGGCAAAATGGATATTATGGGCAAAATTCAAATTTTTCTGTTAAAGCTGGAGATCCAATTTGTTCGTCTCCATCAAGGACATGTCACAGACGTCATGCTGCACTATAACTGGTAGGTATATCCAAGCTAATTTGAATGCAACTAGCATGGATAACCGCAATGAAACCTTGGCAGGAGACATTTCATGGTAGGCCAGCCACTCGGGTACAAGCCCACAAGGATGTATATACTTCAGCTGCTAACCTATGCAAAAGCCCCTCCTATAACATCTTTACTGCTATTGTTACCTGTGCTAACTAGATTAAAACTAGCTGAGGTATGCTGCTTGTGCTGAAATCAAAGTTTCAGCTGTAGTTTTGACATGCCTTAAGATGACCGTGTAAATGTCATGAGTACATCTCGCTACAGTACGATGTGTATTTTTACCCGTAGATGAGGCAATAAAAGCAGAATGAGGGAGCATATTTAAAAGAAAGAGAATGGTATTCTCCATAATACAGAACTTCCCCTTCCTCACACTCTATCCTTAGTTACCAAGTTTAGGAGCAAAGGTTCAGAGATTTTTCTGAGGCCATGTACATTTTATAATCTACTTCATAGTCCCGAGTGCATTTTTAAAGTCTAGATAAGGATATTCCTGGAGAAAATTACGTCCAGGCTAGTACCCTATGACTTCAGTTCTGCTTTTAAGCTCTAAAAATAGGGCACTGATTGGAATGAATTGTGCATTCAGCACTAGGATGAAATTTCACCTTAGTGAAGTTTCTTGGTAGGGATGAAGTCACTGGTTTTGATACCTTTACCTTCAGGAAGACTTAGTGTTTTCTAGGCCACCTAATAGAACAGAAGAAACATCATTCATGAATGGTATGTGGGAATAATGCTTATGCGCACTTGTATGATGATCCAAACTCAGTGAAAGCCAACGTAAAAAAATTCAGGACAGAGTTATGCTATCAGTGTTGATCCTTATTCTCATAATTGCATAGTAACCTATTGTGAGTGGTGTCAGTATGATTTGGGGGGCCTTCAGGGTAGATATAGGACTTGTGTGGTTTTGGAAGAGGAATGTGAGGAAGCTGGTTATGTTAATAACTAACTGGAATGAGTGATGCAGTGAAGGGAATACCTGGGAAGTCCAAGTGTAGATAGGCGTTCTTTATTTTTCTCTTTTTTCAGACCTTAAGACACATTTTTATGATGTAAGTTTTGCCTATTACTATGATTTTTTGCATAGGTTTGACCATTAGCTTTGTTCCTTCTCCTACTTTTTTTTTTTTACTTCTACATTTGTTTTGCACCAGACAATGAATGTGGTCAGTTATCCCTGACAGCGGACATCTCTTCTGAGGCCTCATGCAGAATTTAAAGTTATCTTGTCATATGGAAACTAATTTATTTTCAGCAGAAGAGTCTGTTGCCTTTGTGAAAGCTGTCTAACAGTCTGTGATGGCATCCAGACAGTTCACATTCACAGCAGATGGCAGGTTACATTTTTGCTGTTCACATCCATCTCCTTTTCTCATCCACATTTCACTTGTCATCTTGCCAGCTACCAGAAACCATCCACTTATAAGCGAATCACTATAATGTATGACTGATTGAGTGATTTTTGTTTTTTGTTTTGGGTGCAGCTATAAAGATAAAACATGTTTTTAAATTCATCATATAAAATTTGAAATCTTGATACTTTTCACAAAATGACTCTGACCTGGCTTCCTCCCATGATTCTTCCCCTGACATGGCACCTGGACCCAGTGATTTATCTTCCCTTTTCCTGCAGCCAGCCAATCTAGTTAATTCTGTAACTCAAATGATTGAAGTTTGTTTCACTATACTGAAAGTTCAGGAATTAGACTCTGCTTCTGGTGGACTATGTGGGGATTACTACAACTGCACATAACAGAATCTTAAATTTTTTTAAAGCACCTGAAAACCCATTTCCAAAATGACTTAGACTCTTAGAACCATAAGTTGCATTGACTAATGGAAAGCTATGTTAAACGAATGTTATTTAGTTTGCAAAGTCTGGCTGTTAAATGCTGAAAATAATGTTTACAATTGCCCCTGTACTCATAAATCTGTTGCCTTGTCCATGTGCTTTGTTAATTTTTTTGACCACAGAACTATGCCTCACAAAGTTCCCAGGAATGACTCATTAGGGAACAGAATCAAAGTTGCAATTGAATTTAAATCCTTCCCCTGCTGCCAAACATTATTTTTATGGCACAAATAGGGCCACAAAAGGTGATAAACTCCTCTGTCTATCCTGGACAGCTGTTTGCAGGTCCTATATTTTTAATTCCATAT